CCATGCTGCTGACGAAGATATCGGGTGGGAGCGTTCAGCACCAGGATGGTGTACTGGGCCTCTGGTAGGTCATCGTTTAGAATGGTTCCGTTCTGATTCCGCCTATCGTTGCCCCAAGCTTGATGTTTGGCATTTAGGTCGCCAGCGATGATAAACTTTCCACGGCATCGTGTTATCTTGATAATATCCCTCCGCAGGTCTGCCGCGGATCCATCCCCTGGCGTTGGCTTGTTTCGGGCAATAGTCTGCAATGGTGGTGACGAAGCCGACAGGTGTGGAGACTTCCACTCCCAATGCTTCAATCATTTTCAGCTGAAAACTGGGTAGCAGCCAGCAGCAGATGTTGTTCCTGGTAGCGATGGCCACTTCACCACCCCCAGAGCTTGTCCGATCCAACCACGAAAAAAAAACGTTCATCTCCGGTTTCAGGTGAGTTCACGGCCCATAACTGAGCATGAAGGTAGCCACAGCTTGGAGCTGGTCGGATTTGTTCTTGATGGTGTTGGCAATGTTGTGCATCTTGAGGAAGATGGTCATTAGTTCCGTTGCAGTGAACCACGAACCATCGTTGATTTCTGGCTGCAGTAGGGACGGTCCACGCCAGTTTAGCTCAGGGGCTGTGGGGAGATCCTGAGGCTGTGGAGCAGCAGTCGTCTCATGACCTGAGTTTGCAGGGACTTGAGCGGTGGCGGCCGTCGCAGCAGTAGCAGTGGCACGAGCAGCAGACAATCGTTGATTGAGTGGAAGCACTGTAGTCGGTCATCGTGGTATCGGTGGGAAGTTCTGGTCATTAATTTCCGGCACTTTCTTGCGGCCAGGCTGGTTTCTCGTTGATGTTTTCTTCTGGATCTCGATGCACTCAGTGCTTTTCCGGCAGGCCTTGCTTGTAGCTTTGTGATCAGCACCGCAGTTGGCGCAAATGGGATCGGCTTCATCGAGTCTGTCGCAGGCGTCGGTTTTGTGTTGTTTGTCACACTTGATGGAGCGGCTGATCATATGGTAATTCTTCGTTCCATGTCCGAACAGCAGGCAGTTCGAGCATTGGGTGACTCCACGACTGACCGGCTTGTACCGCTCCCACTTCACCACTATGTTGAACAGGACGCGGATGCCCTGGAGGTCCATCAAAGTTGTTGAGTTCTTCTCAAGGTGAACCAGATATAGCAGGTCGCGGTTCTTGACGGCCTTGTTGTGGCGGGCCATCTTGTGAATTTGGACCGGCTTCAGTTCTTTAGCCACCAAAGAGGACGCCTGTGGCCATGTCGTATAGTCCACGCAGGACCACCTTGAACGGCTTAGCAGCCTCGATGTCATGGGAGAAGCACTCCACCTATGATTGGTCCAGTATGGTCTTTACCGCCTTGTAATATTTCAATGCCGGAACCATCAGTTTGTATCCTTCCGTGCACAGCTGGATGGTGCACCGGATGCCCTGCGTGATGAAGAAGTTTATTTTTTCCCGCAGTCCGGGAGGGAAGCCCTTCACGTAGAAGGGCGGCATGCTGTCCTTCTTCGGTGGTCCTGTTGTTTCCGTTGTCGAGGAGCTTCTTCGTGGCCGTTGCACTGTCACTGTTCTCTTCAGGCCTAGACCGTTTCCCGGGATTGCCGGCACTCGCGTCACCGCGCGATTTTCTACCCATGGCTGGGTCAGCGAGAGCGTCACTATTCAACGCGAGAAAAAACGGGACAACGCAATCGAACGAACGAAGAGTGCGAGAAAAAAAAAAAAACGTCGACTGTACAGCTCAACAGTCTGGCAGTGAATCAATGAGTTGAGGCTAGACAGCAGTGCTCTTTCATATCTTTTCAGGTTAAAGCTTAATGATGTGCAACCAAGTGGTACTCGATTGTGACGACTGGGTTTGGGAAGAACGTTTATTTCATAAAAACAGTGATAAAATTATCACTTTTTATTTGTACATTGGACAATGCTTGACATTACCACTTGTTCAATAGTTTTTTTTTATGAAAATCATCAGCTGTAAACATTTTTATTGATGCGTAGAAATATTTCTGATCGATTGGTGATAAAATTATTGAAATTGGTCGAGGGGAAGCTGAGCTATTAATGTTCAAAATCTTTCATAATTTTGTTACATGTTCCATTTTCAGTTTTCACAAAGTGTACCCCCATATAGACAGATGTATTCCTACGTCAAAAAATGACTCATGTCGATAATATAAATAACTTTGTAAAACATCAGCATGGTGGGAAATTGCTATCAGAAAAGTTATTGCCAAAACATTGATGTTCTGTAGTCTCCATATAAGAATTTTGCATATCTTAAAAAAATGTAACCGATAGATATTCTGTAAAATTTTGCCTAAGTCACCTTGTCCATGCTAGGTAAATTGTTCATAAAAAAGTTAAGTTCAAAAAAAGGAGGCATTCATGGACGCAAACTTCTCAGTGCAGTGGATCTCAAACTTTCGTCGAATGCGACTCACTTTGAGAAATTTCATAAGTTCGCGATAAATAGTAACAATACGGTTAAAATAATGTGTGGTCAATTGTGTGATTAGGCTGTCTTCTGTGATTTGCACCAAAAACCGTTTTTATCAATCCTGATGAATGTGGGCGTCTTAGTAGAATACCTGTATAATGAGAGAGAGAAGGATTAGTAATTTCCTTATTTGCTTATCCTTGACAGATACGCATATTTTGTTTACAATGTGCAGACTTCTTCAGTGTCTTGTACTAAAAGTCGAGCATTAGCAAATAAGTTAGTGGAATTAAATGGAAATTACTAATCCTTCTCTCTCTCTCTCTCTCTCTCTCTCGTTTTTATCAACTTAACTCTACAAATATTTTACGCACCAATCGAGTTATTATGCATCTGTATTTTTGTACTCCTTCGATGACATTGCTCAGAGAGCATTACCGTGAGAACATTGCCGCTTATGTGGAATAATAATTGGCGATTGTCACGCCAACTCGACTACGGGGTTGGCAGAACCCTCTCAGATTTAAATGAAACTTTGTTGATGTAAAGCTATATTCTACTTAAGAAACTTTACATACTTATTTTATAAAAAAAAAACCATATTAAGACCACCATTTGAAAAGCTTAAACCTGATAAGTCACACAAAAATGTTTATGTTAGATGATTTGTTGAAAGTTGTATAATAAAATAATAAAATAATAATAAAAAAGTACTACACTTAAAAAAAACCAATTCCTTAAAAAAGTGAAGTTTTTCAAAAACTTCATTTTAAACAAATATGAATTTTTTTCAACAGGACGACAGGCTATTGGTCCAAGCGCAATGACAGCGGAAGCGGAACGGCAGCGGCAGCAGAAAAGCCCGATCTGAGTAAGCCTACTTTTCGGATTGAAAACTAGTTAGAACTAAATCAACTTCGGTTAGGCATCTTGATGTCATTTGTGGCAACTGTCAAACTTTCCGCTTCCGCCCACATTGCGCTTGGGCTTTATCTATCAACAAGTCATTCTCTCAAAAAATAAGCTTATTTGGATGCAATCTCATACTGCACTGGCCCTTTGAAGTTTATACGGGTTTTAGTTTTGTTTTCATCGTCCTAGCTCTTCGTCATATTGATTTTCGGGTTAGCTAGCTTTAGTTTCATTGTGAAATTTTATCAGCTACAATTTTGTTCTAGACCACTTCTATATTCGATTTCAAGGTAATTAGTTGTTAATTGATAACTTTCTGATATGACTAATCAACTGCCTTCTGGGCAACACTGTATCATGCACTTATGAGATAGTAGCCTGGATTTTTTGCCCTATTCTTCCCGCCAAGCACACCAATGGAGCAGAACATCATCTTCGTAATCAATTAATAACTCATTATTCTGACGTTCAATTGAAATGTATTGTAGCTAGGAAAATCACGTTATAATTTGCAAAGAACCAGTCCAGCATGAGTTCCATATGAGGTCACATTTTGAGAGAATTCTCAGCATCTTTGTGAAGAAAAATCGATATTTTGGACCACTCTAATAATGGGCAAAATTACTTAGATCATCTAAGTATTCGAGACGGATCTGATTTCAATCTAAGCTGAACTTCAGATCATAGTTTTGAAAGCAAATAAAAAAAAAAACACAAACAAAACAGCTAAGCTATCATCTATTATTCCTATCGTCCTTATGCCAAGCGTATTTATTCCTAATGGGGTATATTCGTCCCATATGGATAGGAAATCAAGCAAATATGTGTCTGATATGCGACTATTTACTCAATGCTGTTTTTATGCGATTTTCATTTTGTTGAATTTGTGATTTTATGGAACATCCCAACAAAAAATTTGAGCTGATTAAAAGCTGAATAAGCTATTAATTAGCTGAAGAAGCATATTTTTGCCTGAATAAACTCTTATTCAGCGTGCAATGTTTGTTGGGATGTTGCATTAAATTTGGTAGCAATTTGAAATCACACCATCAAAAATAGAGTCTACACTGGTTCGTAGCAGCATATGGAAAATAGTGCTTTTCTTTATTCGAAATTGTTCACACATAATCCCATCAAGTTCATTGAACATTCAATAGACGGCATACCGGCGCTCAGCTCTATTGCTCCAGCAACGACCACAATCGAGTGATAAAGCTGCTTCACGAGTAAAGTGGTTATGCTTTTGCCCAACAGCGTCGTCGTCGTCGTCGCCATCGTCCTTCGCTCTCTTTATCTCCCTCCATACAAATGATTATGGGCGTACAAGTTTTCTGCAGCTGCAATCAGTTTTTCTTGTACGAAGGAGTTGGCGTGTGCTTTAGATATTTGCTACAGCTAGCTTGCACCAATGGGAATGGTATGATTATAGCATTACTATTTATTTGAGGAGAAGTTTTAGATTTGCTCAGCACGACGCTATTCAAATCGTAAAATGTGAAACGGTTGCAAACGGTTTAAATTATTTACTGATGTGCTGTTAGATCCCTTAACAAAGAAGAAAAATCTCCAAACTCAAGCAAATCCAGCGAAGAAAATCACAGTTTGATGCAAATTAAAACAATTTTCCATCCCCTCTTTTTGCAGATGTGAACGAGTGTCTGCTGCGCAACGGTCACGGTCCCTGCCAGGATACGTGTATCAACACTTGGAGTGGCTACCGGTGCAGCTGTTCGGGTTTGCCAGGAACTCGCCTCTCGGATGACGGCCACAGCTGCGAGGACATCGACGAGTGTACGGTCAACAACGGTGGCTGCTCGCATACCTGCCTCAACACACTGGGGAGGGCATTCTGTGTGTGTCCCGAGGGCTACATGCTGGACGACGACTGGAAGACCTGTATCGACATTGACGAATGTTTGAATCAGAAATCGATTAGACAGGAATTTCGCTGTCGTGAAAACTGCGTGAATACGATTGGTTCCTACCGGTGTCTGCTGGAGGATGTAGTGGAGGGGCGACCTGCTGGAGCTGGTCTGGATTACGATGACCGGCTGACTAAGCAAGTGGACGACGAGCTGGACGATGAGAGCGACGATGATACCCTCTGTCCGATGGGGTACTATTTTAACACGACAATGGGCGACTGTCAAGGTAAGGTATTCGGTGGATTGGTTTTGCATATATGCATTTAGGGTGTCTGGTCGAGAGGACGAGTGGGTTTCGTGTATGTTTCCGTTCATTTCCCTCCGGAAGAGTGCGTTTTGATTGTAGGATAAATCGCAGGAACTCACTGAGTGGTTGAATTGATGTAGTTAATTGGTACAACTATTTGTATGACACTAGAGATTCCGACTTGGTCATTGATGATGGAAAAAAGGTGCAATTAATTTAACCAAATTTATAAATGTTCAGAATATGTAAACAAGCACCTCCGAGTAAGTAAATTCATAACTAAAGTGCCACCAGTTCCAAGATCTTGGCCCACTTTATCTTCGAAAACTTTCAAAGGCCTATTTCTATTTATCATTAGCTAATGTTGGCTATTGTATCTATTGCATTGCTTGATAAAATTTAATCTTCTAAGCACCTTCCATTCAATGAAACCGATCAATAGTACAACCAAATCATCTCATCTCGACCATGAGCCACTTGGCAGCTCAAGTCGTAACCATCCATACTCAACAATGAGCTTACCTTACGCCGAACCAAAAGCATCAATCCCAGCACATCTCCTCCGTTTCTCGATTTCAGATACCAACGAGTGCAGCCAGGGAAACGGTGGCTGTCAGCATCACTGCATCAACAGCGATGGCAGCTTCTATTGCTCGTGTAAATATGGATTCAAGCTCGATGTCGACAAGCACAACTGCCTGGGTACGTAACTATAATGCTTGGATTCCGAGTCGGAGCCACCGACGTCAAGATTTCCCTATTTCGGTTTCGTGATTTGATTAGCGGAAAGATACGCTGCTCTGCCTGCTGGTTTCCCGAACTGAAAAGTGAATCAAATTCATCGTCCTAGTACATATTGTTCCAATTGGCTCACTTTTCAGCATCAGTCGATATTAAACAACTGGACGAATGCAAACGAAGCCAATTTATCTTCCAAAGATGTGCCACAAATTGCTTCCGTCCATTGCAACGAACTACTCAATTTCAGTGCAGCAGTTTCCAAGGAGCAAGTGGAACAATTATATACACATTCATCAAAATCTAATTACGCTTTGATAGCACTCTGATTTATGACTACCCTGCAAGCCCTGATAATAAAGGGATCACACAGAAGCGAGAAGGAAATTTATCGCTGGTATTCAGATCTCGACCATCAGCAACTGTATTTATGCATGGACCATGGGACAATACCTGTTTGTCATTCTGTCAGCTCATTCATCTCGGTTTGCTCGACCACAGCCCCTCCAGGCCCATTGTTGAGAAATTCAAGCCAATCCCTGAAGACAGTCTTAAACCCTTGATTTAATTCTAAATTCTACGTGGGCTTCTCCATTTGTGACCCTTCCACGTTCCACCGTATAACTCACATCATCGTTCGCAATCGAGCCTGAACGAGTAAGCTAATTTACATCAACTGCTTGTAAGATGATTTATTCATTGCCATCGTCATCGCCATAGTGCTCGTCCTTGTCGGCGACCGTCATCCGTCATCATCGTACAATATCTCTATCTGTGTAAACGCATGAACGCACTTTCGGAAGCAACTAAATTAGCTTGCAATGCCCGGCTTGCTCCACCGCATCCAACCACCCATCCTAGGCGAACTGTAATAATGCACAACCTCTCAGGAAGAAGCCGAATTGTGTCACAAATTAGGTGGCAGTTGGAAGTGCATTAGGCGGTAGAACGTTGTACATCAAAATGTGCGGGAGCTTTCATCATTACATCACAGATCTTCCTTCATCTGTGGGGATTTCTGCCTCTTGTCAGCACGTGTTCCATTTTCGATGAGGCGTAGCACAATTGATTGGATTCTATATCTGGGCAAATATCCATCGTCTGAGTATCGGTCTGACTTACATGCGTATTCAATGTATTTCCAATTAAGTCTTCTTTGAAGAATTCAGACTTCTTTGATGACTAATGTGGGTAATTGGAGGTATCCATTACATTATGCTGCTTTTTCGTGACGATTGGATTCTCAAAAGTGGACGTTCCACTAAAGCAATCTTTCAACTGACATCAATTTGCCCTTGAGGCGGCCTTTCGGAGGTGTTTGAAATTTGATCTTTCGTAAAGAAAATCCAACACGGTATGTTCTATTTAATCTGGCGATATTATACAGGCACTAGTCAATTGACTGAATTTCTGGAACCATAAGCTCAATAATCTCGAAATTTAGTGACTTTTCCTAACTTTCGTGGTTGAAACTTCTGGTAAAGTTTCAGGATTTAAGAAGCATGTTAAGTGTCTGCTGAGATAAAAAAAAAAGTTGCACGCCCAGCTTTGGGCCTTTTTAGATAAGACCCATTAGATGTTGCTATCAAATGCATAATCAGATAATCAATCAAACTGCACGAGATCGAAGTGTGCTCTGTTTCTGTAGGTCGCGAAAAATTTCCGAGTATCTATTTTTCGGTTTTATTTTTTTCTTGAATTGATTTGTTCATCGTATTTTAGCTCGAAAAAATGTGCCACTTGATAACAGTTCTAGAAAAGAACTTTAGTGCAAAGCAAGTGATCTTGTGAAATGCATTTCAAAGTGTGTTTTTCTTAAACCCATTATTGTCGTTACAACCTAGGGGTATCCAACTTAAAGCTTTAAATCTGGTATAAATTAAATATTCTGAAATATCTGATAAATATCCTTAAGATTTTTAAGTATTTTAAATTCTTACTTATTTCTATCCTAGTGTAGTTGTTTGTTGTTGTTTGCTCCGTCAAGTCATTTCTAGACATTTGTTTCGTATTTAATCAGGGACTCGACGAAGGATGAACCTGTGGGATCAAGCGATTAATGGTGTTAGTAGCAATAGTGTAGAAGAAGTAGGAAAAATAACATGGTGATACTCAATGACTTCGTCGATCCAAAAGATGATCCTGCAGTCAGCAAACCACATCACCTGAGACCACCTCCGTTGGTAAATTTGTACGAGACCAGCGTGATGTGCTCGACCCGAAAGAGGCTGAATTTTGCGAGTAGGTTGCCTTTGGGTAGACAGAGACGGTTAAACTGTTGAATTAAATCTTTTAAAGTGCTAATTTTTAATCCGATTCTTCCAGCATGGGAATGCACTTAGCCCAAGATCGCATCAGATTGTATATCTAAGAATTCCGAAAATTGCTATGACGACGATGATGGGACCCCAACCATGATACTAAATACAAGACATTACCAGATGACCAACAATCTATACCAGTGGACATACCGTAAAACGGGGCGAATATAAATATTTTGGCGAAAAGAAACTAAACTTCCCAGCCTTAAAAATATTACTACTATGCTAAGATTATTTTGAAAAAAAAACATCCTACAACATTTTTCCCAGTTACTAAGCTACTGAAAGAGTTCAGTCCAACTATTGTTGGGTTGGCAGCCCTGCTGTAATTTTTCTAGAAATTTCATAAAATGCTGCTTCGAGTTAGTAGTATTTGCTAGTGCGCAAAAACTTCACCTGTGAAAGTCACTTTTTGTTTAATTCGAACTTGCTTACGTACTGTAGTAGTTATATTATTTAATTATGTAAACTTCTACAGTGAAACATTTGAACATCAACAGGTATTTATCATATTATCACTTATATTTGAATTCATGGTCCCGATTCACACTTTGACGGGGCGAATTAGAAACAATGGCGTTGATAATTGAAGTCATTCATTTTATGCAATCGACACCAACATAGTGCTCCATTATTTCTAGGAAAACAATGGTTAGAAACTGCAAACCAAAAAGACAGACCCACAAACTTTGAAGCAGGCACGAGGATGTTGCTAACAAAAAAAATATCGTTGCGCCAAGCGGCAGTGCAGTACGGCATTAGCTATTCTGCGATTTATCGGCATTCAAAGAAGGAAATGCCATCGAACCCTAAGGCAGACAAACGTGCCTTACTGAATCTGACGAAGGTTTGTTAGTCCAAAGGCTTAAAATTTGCTCTGAATGGGGTTATCCTGTTGATACTTGGATGTTACGCTGCATTGTTAAATAGTATTTGGGTAGAATGGGAAAGAAAATTTCAACCTTCAAGAGAAATCTGCCAGGACCAGATTTTGTTTATTCTTTTTTGAAAAGGCATAAGAAGGAGTTTTCATACAGGATGTGCCAGAATATTAAGAGAAACCGGTCTGCTGTATCTCACAAAATCATCAACGAATACTTCAACAGGTTATGTAAGGAACTCCTAGATGTACCACCGTCTAATATTGTAAACTATGATGAAACGAACTTGTGAGATGATCCGGGAAAAAGGAAGGTTATAACTAGACGTGGCTGCAAATATCCGGAACGGGTAATGAACAGTACAAAAGCGTCTGAATCGGTGATGTTTAGTGCTGCAGGAGATGGTACCATAATACCACCGTATGTTGTTTATAAAGCTGTTCATTTGTATAACTCAGGACAGAGAACGTTAGATACAACCGATCGAAATCGGGTTGGTTCGAAAGTTCCTCTTTCTGGTTGTCTACAATTGCAATTCCCTATTTGAAAAAAACAAACTGGAAAAAGAGTTTTAATTGGAGATAATCTTGCTTCACATTTGACATTACAGGTTATTGAGTTGTGCTCCAATAACGACATAAGTTTGATTTTTCTCCCAGCCAACTCAACTCACTTAACACAACCGTTAGATGTGGCGTTTTTTCGTCCTCTAAAGACTGCTTGGCGTAGGCAAACACGAAGCATCTCTTCCATAAGACACATTTCCAAGGCTTCTAAAAGAGATGATGGATTACATCAAGGTTAAAGGACCAAACAATGTTCGAGCTGGATTTAAAAAATGTGGCATTATACCGTTAGATAGAACACCCATGTTACGGATGTTAGCCACAGTGCCAATTGAAATAGGATACTACAACAGAATTTTAATTTAGGTAAACCGGGGATAAATCGATCACTGCTTAACGCAAGTATGGAAACTTATTTATAAAAATTGGAATCCAGTACACACTAATTTTCTTTCGCCGAGATTCCAACAGCCGAGTAGTTCTGCAATTTATTTTGCTGAGATTCGGTAACTCAGAGACTCAGCTAACGCATTAAATTTTGCTGAAATCTCAACTAACAAACACATATTTTGTAGAGATATCAGCAAAAGTAAATGCCGAGGTAGTCGGCTGTTGGAGATTTTACCGAGCTAGAATAAGTGTGTAGTGAGAACTCTATCGTTCTACATAATCACCTATGTATCATATTGGATGATTTGTTTATTCATTGGAAATTTTTGAAATCTTAAATATGAAAACGTAGATATGCGGTGGAACTGATGAACCTTTTGTTTTTTTTTGCAGTGCATTTAAAGATAATATACCTTATAAATTTGGGTTTGCTCAATTCGAATCATACGTTAAAATGCTTGTGCGAAATGCATTGTAAGCAACAAATGTAATATTGAGCATTTCCAGCACAAAATGGCAAAAATAAAGCCACGTTTTTACCGAATTTTTCAGATTTAAATGAATTTTTGCACATATGTTGGCTGCTACCCAAGGTGACATTTTCTTTTTAAAAAAAATTGAAAAATTCCGGGCTTATTTTTTAATAAGAGCTTATATAAGAATGGGATTTATTTTTTTCAAAAAATCAGCTTCAAAACGATACATATTTTATCAAAATGAAGTGTGAGAAGAAGTTGTAGGTACTGGTAGGGTCTATCCGAAAAAAAAAATATATACTGAGAGATAAATCACTGTAATATTGTGCT